CAGTAAAAGGTGGTATCTAAATAGTGATTTTAAAAAGGGTGCAGGGAACAGAGGAAGTGACAGTGCCGATGCAGTGGTTTGATTTCACCCCCACTAGTGGGTTGCAGTGTCTACGTGTGACTGCCTGGGTACGTGTGTGCACACGGCCATGTATGTGCATACATGTGGATGTGCGTGTGTATGTGTGTGTGCACTAGGGCTGGGACGAGGGTGAGGGGAGTGAGGCAGTGACCTCAAGAGCAAAATTTAAGGAGGTATTGAAAAACTCAGTCATCAAAAAAAAAAAAATTTTACTGCATTATATATATATTTAAATTGGAGTATAGTTGACTTACAGTATTATATTCGTTTCAGGTGTACAACATAGTGACTCACTATTCTTACAGATTATACTCCATTTAATGCTATATTTTCAAAAAGCAAAATAATAATAAAATTCATATGAACAAAGCACCACATTTTATTTATTATTTTTTTTAAGGCACCACAGTTTAAAATACAGCCAGGATCTGACCCTATTTTCAAGACTCAGCCACACCCACCTGACCCTAATCCTGGTCCTGTGTACCTGCATGTGATTGCACACGCCTGTGCACACGCACATGGGTCCCCCTGGGTGTGAACACAGGTGTGTTTGCATGCTTGTGTGCACTCCTATGTGTGGTATGTACCCGTGAGCACAAGCATGTGCCCACATGCGTGTGTGCACACCAGCATGGACACAGAAACATCCAGAAAGATGCCCTCAGAGTGTTACCGATACTTCCTTCCAGGAGGTGAGAATTCTGGTATTTCCCCTCTCTTTGTACTTGTCCGGATTTTCTCTTCTTGGAATGTGTCATCTTACAACCAGAATAAAAACAAGAAAGCCATTTTCACTATGGAAAGAAGGCCATTGGGCAGAGGTACCTCCCTCAGGAAAGCCCCGGGGACAGAGAGGATGGAGAGATCCCTGAACTTACTGACCATCACTAACTGCTGATGGTTACTGAGCATTTCACTGTGGCCAGGACCTGTAGCAAGTGTTCTTCGTCCAGGGCTGTATCCGTGGCAGATGGACGGTGCTGAACAATATTTGCTGAATGAATGAGTGAATGAATAAATGACTCCATCATCCAACCCCGGGATCCAGGACCACTTTGCCTTTTCTTCCTCTGCCTGGAATGCCCTCACATGGCTGGCTCCTCCTTGTCACTCAGACTTCAATTAATGTCACCTCCTCCCAGAAGCCCTCTCTATTGCCCTGTCTACACCAATCCATCTGCCCATTTAAATTTTCTGAGTAGTATGTTTCTTGTTTTTATCCCTCTTCCCCCGGGTGAGGACAGATCTGACCTCTTTTATTCACCACTGTCTCCCCACCCCTTGCACTCAGCACCTGGCACACAGTAGGTGCTGGGTAAATATTTGTTGAAGACATGAATGACACCCCCATCCCATTATAGATGAGGAAATTGAAGCTCAGAGGTTCAAAGCCACCTGTCCAAGGTCACTGTATTTTTCAGGTGATGGGACCAGGATTTGAACGCTTGTCTTTCTGAGGCCAGAGTCCGAGCCATCAGCCAGGAGATTGCCCTCTCCCTTGGATGGCACCAGCCTCTGTACCTGGGTCCCCGAGGCTGCTTACAAGTAGACCAGCTGCCAGGAGAGGCCCTGGGGATGATGGAAAGAGTACCTTCAGTTTATTGAACCCCTGCTGTATGCCGCTGAGAGGGGCTCAGAGAGGCTGTGCCATGCTGGGGGCCCACAGCTGATACACAAGACTCTACCTACATGATGTGTTGAATTGTGCTCCCCAAAAGACGTGTCCAAGTCCTGTTGCCTGGACTGTGTGGCGGTGGCCTTGTTTGGAAACAGGGTCTTTGCAGATGCCATTAAGTTAAGGACCAAAAGATAAGAACATCCTGGATTATATAGGTGGGACCCAAGTCCACTGACAAGTGTCCTTACAAGAGACAGAAGGGGAGAAGACACAAGAAGAGCAGAAGACCATGTGACGATGGAGACAGAGGTTGGAATGATGCAGCCACAAGCCAAGGGCCGCCTGGAGCCTCCAGAAGCTGGAAGAAGAAAGGGAGAATCCTCTCCTAGAGCCTCTGGAAGGAGGATAGCCCTGCCCACACCTTGATTTCAGACTTCTAGCCTCTAGAACCATGAGAGAATACACCCCATTGATTAAGTCACCCAGTCTGTGGTCATTTGTCACAGCAGCCACAGAAAACAAATACAGTTGATTTTTCCATATTTTAGCATCAATGTTGTCAAAGCTACAGACAAATTGCAAAAATTGTCCAGTGAATACTCACTCACACGCCCACCACCTAGAGGCTACCATTGACGCATGGCTCTATTTGTCACTCTCTGTCCTGCTCTCCGTTTATCCACCCACCTCATTCAATTAAGGATTTATTTTTTAGAGCAATTATAGGTTCACAGCAAAAATGTGGGGAAGATGCAGCGATTTCTCAGAGACCCCCTCCTCCCCACACACGTACGGACTCCTCCACCATCGAGAGCCCCACCGGACGATACATTTGTTACAACTGAGGAGCCTACATCACTGCCCAAAGTCCACAGTTTACACTAGGGTTCACTCAGTGTTATACACCCTCTGGGTTTGGACAAAGGGATAATAATGTGAACCCACCATTGTGGTCTCTGCAGAGGAGTTTCACTGCCCTAAAAGTCCCCTGGGCTCCACCTGTTCATCCTTCTCCTCCCGGCACCAACCTCTGACCTTTTTACTGTCTCCATAGCTTTGCCTCTGGCAGAATGTCACGCAGTTGGAATTATACTGTTTGCAGTCTTCTCAGATGGCCTTCTTTTACTTAGTAATATGCATTTAAGCTCCCCCAGGTCACTTCGTGGCTTGATAGCTCATTTTTGTTTTGTGTCAAACGATATTCCACTGTCTGGATGCACTGCGGTTTACCCATTCACCTATTGAAGGACATTTACCCCACCTCACTTTTTAATGCATTTCAAGGTAAGACCCTACCTCCTTCCCATCTATTTTAACACAGTAGTTAAAGCGATCTTTTAACAGTCAAGTCAAGCTCCAGTCCTGCTCAAAACCTCCCCAGGATCCCTGTCTCACTTGAGTGAAACTCAAAGGACTCACTGTGCCCTCAGGACCCCCTTACCCCTCTCCCCTGTCTCCCACCATCCTCCTGACCTACATCGGCCCACGTGGTCACCAGCAGCCATGTGTGCTTCCTAAGTCCTTGAAGATGACTAGTCTGGCCTAAGTGTCCATTAAGAGATGAGTGGATAAAGAAGATGTGGTATATATACACAATGGAATACTACTCAGCCATAAAAAGAATGTAATCTTGCCATTTGCAACAACATGGATGGACTTGGAGGGTATTATGCTAAGTGAAATAAGTCAGAGAAAGGCAAATACTGTATGACATCACTTATATGTGGCATCTAAAAAATACAACAAACCAGTGCATATAACAAAAAAGAAACAGACTCACAGATTTAGAGAATAAACTGGTGGTTACCAGAGTGAAGAGGGAAGGGAGGAGGGGAAATACAGAGGTAGGGAAGTAAGAGGTACAAACTCTTATGTACAAACTAAGCTGTAAGAATATATTGTACAACACGGAATATAGTTGTATGTTCCAATATGTTATAATAACTATAAGTGGAATATATCCTTTAAAAATTGTGAATCACTATATTGTACACCTGTAACATGTAATATCAACTCTACTTCAATTTAAAAAAATGACTGGTCCAAATTGAGGTATGCTCTAATTGAAAATGTACAAGATTTCAAAGACTTAGGACTCATAAAAGGACGTAAAATATCTCATAAATTAAATTTTAATATTGATTACATATTGAAAGAATATTTTGTCTCTGTTGGATTAAATAAAATGTATGATGGCAATTGCATCTAATTCTTTTCTACTTTTTAAAATGTGGCAACTGGAAAATTTTAAATTACATCTGTGCCCTCGTTTGTGGCTTCATCGTATTTACGTTGGTTGGCGCTGGTCTAGGATGTCGGCTCCAGGAGGTGTGGGTGTCTTAGATGCTCAATAAATATTTGTTGAATGAATGAATGAATGAATGAATAAATGGATGAATGGACAAATGAGCCCAAGCCTGAATGACATCAAAGAGGTGGCTTTAAGTCAAGATTTATTGGGGGCTCCCACATGAAGACCTCAGTTCCCACTTTCGTGGAGTCACCTGGGCTCCCTGTGTATGGGGGGGGAAGTGGGCAGGCCCATCCACAGTGCAGCGCCAGGTGCGGCTGCCTGGGTACCCCCTCCAGCCCCCTAGACAAGATCAAGTTTCAGTGGCTGGGATTTCTGGGGATAGAGAAGGCGTGGCGTGAGGGGAGGGGGACCAGAGCCAGGCGCGGGGCTCCGGAGCTGACTCCACCCCGGCGGCGGGGTCCCCTCCCTGGGGCTGGGCTGGCGGGAAGGGGCTGGGCTGCCTGGCAGGCGGGACAGGACGGAGCCGGGGTGTCTGCTATCGACCGCCTGGGCCACTGCAGGGAAGCTTTTAGACCCGCCAGTACATCCCGCCCAGCGGCAGGGGTCTGGGCTTCCCCCTCCCCTAAAGGGGGGAGGCCACGGGGCTTCCTCGCACCCCCACGTCCCGCCCACCAGCAAGGCTCGCAGGCTCTGCCTCGGCACTGAGTATGAAATCCCACTTGCTTCTCACCCGGGTTTGGAATCACTATTCCTGGCCCTTTGTTGAGAGATCATTTACATCCTGTAAGGTCAGATGTCCGCCTGCATTGCACTTGCCTCTGGCCCTGGGCCCCACCTGTCAGAGTATGGAACGTTCCCTCTAGAAGTTCTCAGAAGTATTCCATCCCTCTCATCCCCAACCCTGAGTCTGACTTCTATCCACATGGGTTAGCGCAGCCTTTCGGAGAATTTTGTACAAATAGAACCACACAGGGCGGCCTCTTCTCAACATCGAGTGTTCTGAGAGCTCTATCCAGCAACTCTGTTGGAGGTTTGTTCCTTTTCACTGCTGCAGAGTATTCCCTGGTATGAATGGACCTCAATTTGTTTATCCATTCTCTTGTCCTAGACATTTGGAATGTTTCCAGTTTGGGTTTCTGTTTTTTTTTGTTTTTTCAAAAACCAATAAAGCTGCTGTGAACATTTGCCAGCAGATCTTTGTGCAGACATGTTTTCATTTCTCTCGGGTAAATACCCACAAATGGAATTGCTGGGCTGTGTGGTGAGCATGGAACTTTATAAAAACCAGCAAACCAGCCTGGCAGACTGTTTGATGCCCACCAGCAGTGGAAGAGAGTTTCAGTTCCTCCACGTCTTGTCAACACTTGGTATCGTCAGCCTCTAATTCTGGGCATGTGGGTGTCTTATAGCCTGGACCATTGCTGTCGCCCCTGCCTTGAAGCCCTGCTTTTGCCCTGGCTTCCCAACAGTTCTCTTTCACTCCTCAGAAACTAGATACATGATTTGTCTGTAAGATTTCCCTGTTTGGTATAGAAAATTTTCATGCACATGCTGAAGTAGAGAGAACAGTGTGCAAAGCCCATATGGGTCCCATCGCCTGACTTTTATGATAATCCACATTTTGGCCATTTTGTTTCATCTCTCACCTTCCAACTTGTTTTTTTGTGTTTTTTGGGGGGTGGGTAGGAGGGGCAGTAATTAGGTTCCAACCTGTTTTTTAAGGGAATATTTTAAAGCAAACCCCAGGTATCAAACTACTTCTGCAAGTATCATAGGAATCTTCTCAAAATGTAAATCAGATGGCTCATGTCTTGCTTTGAAATTGGCCAGTTTCTCATTGGTTTCTCATGGCTATTAGAAAAAAATGTAGGATTTCTTCCCACAGCCCTCGGAATGACTGCAGGTCTCTGCCGTCATGTTCTACTCTTTCCCCTTAGTCTCTGCTCTAGTCACATTGTCCTTGTCCCCACCAAAGTTTAAGCTTGTTCCTGCCTCAGGGCCTTTGCATATGCTGTTCCCGCCACCTTGAATGCTCTTCCCCCAGATAACTGCATGGTTCCTGTGGTAGGCAGCATCTAAGATGGTCTCCAATGGTCCCTGCCCCTTGGTTTTTATGCCCTTGTATAATTTTCTCATCTTGCATGTGGGCTGAACGTCTCACTTCTACCTAGTAGAACACGGCAAAAATGATGGGATATCACTTCCAGGACTGCTGTCCTGCTGGATTCTCCTTCTTGCTGGCACTCTCTCTTGTCTCTTGCTCTAGTGAAGCCAGTGGCCATGAGGTGAGCCATCGTTCGGAGAGGTCTACATGGCAAAGAACAGAGAGTGGCTTTTAGCCAACAGCCGGTGGGGAGCTGAATTCTGCCATCAGCCCTCTGTGAGATTCTCCCCAGTTGAGCCTTGAAATGACAATAGACCCAGTGGCTACCTTGACTGTGGCCTCATGAGTTAGAGGACCAGCTAAGTGGCACCCAGATTCTTGACCCCAAATCATCACAAGATCATCTATGTTGTTGTTTAGACCTACTAGATTTTGGGGGTCATTTTTTATGCAGCAATACATAACTCATGTAACCCTCTCACCTCCTTCAGCTCTTTGCTCAAAAATCAACTTCTCCATGAGACCTTCCCTGACCACCCAATTAAAATTGCAACCCACCCCATTCCTCTTCTCTACTTTATTTTCCTTCTAGAACTTACCACCTTCTATTTTATTTAACTAATTCATTGCCTCCCCCTCTCTGTTGAAACATTGGCTCTGGGAGGACAAGGGCCTCTGTTTGTTTTGTTCATTGCTGCATCCTCAGTCTTAGAACACTGCTGGGCTCGTAGTAGGTCTCACTAGATCTAAAAACACACTACTACTATTGACCCAGCAATCCCACTTCTGGGTGTGCACCCAAAAGAATTGAAAGCAGGGCCTCAAAGAGATTATTTGTGCACCCATGTTCACAGCAGTATTACTCACAATAGCTGAAATGCGGAAGCAACACAAGTGTCCATCGACCAATGAATGGATTATTCAAATGTGGTGCATTCATACAATGGAATATTGTTCAGCTTCAAAAAGGAAGGGAATTCTGCAATATGCAACACTCTGGATGAACCTTGAGGACATTATGCTAAGTGAAATAAGCCAGCCACAACAAGACAAATACTGTATGAGTCCACTTATCCGAGGTTCTTAGATTAGTCAAAATCATACAGACAGAAGAGAGAATGGCGGTTGCCAAGGGCTGGGGGGTAGGGGGATTGAGAGTTGCTGTTTAATGAGGATACAGTTTCAGATTTACAAGATAAAATGAGTTCTGGGGATGGATGGTGGTGATGGATGCACGACAGCATGAACACACTGAATACTACTGAACTGTACACCTTAAAGTGGTTACAATTAAAAAAGGTAAGTGTTGGGGAGGGAAGGATATAGCCCAGTGGTAGAATGCATGCCTACCTTGCACAAGGTCCTTGGTTCAATCCCCGGTACCTCCATTAAAAATTAATAAATAAAAATAAACCTAATTCTCCCCTAAAAAAAAACAAGAAAAAACAAACAAACATTTACCAAAAAAGGTAAATGTTATGTTATATATATTTAAACACACACACACAAAGATACACTTACTGTGCCATCCTGTTCCCCTGGGGGTGGGGCTTGGTGATCAGCTTTGGGTTTTACAGTCAGATGTCATGGGCTGGGGTCCTGGGTGTCCCCCATCTCTCTGTTGAGTGGAACAGTATGAATATCATTCCTGCCTTTCCCATCTTCCCAACTTCTCAGGAATTTTTCAGGGATGGGAAACCCCCTTCCTGCTCAATTATGGGACCAGACCGCATTCATCTCTGTCTACTGAGTGTGGACTTGGAGAGCTGGAGAACTTGGCTTGGGCCTGGTCCCTTGTCCCTTTTTGCAGCTGTCTCTGGCCAGCCTTGAGGGGCAGGGATCTGGGAACCCATGTGTGGGTTGGGGGTGTGGTCATCAGCTCTGGGACCCTGTCCTGCATGAATCACACCTTGGAGGGACCTCTGACAGTCAGTCCCCCATTCCCGTCCAGAGTTGTATCAGCCACTGCAGGGCCCAGCAGGCCCCACTCAGCCCTCCTGCCCTCAGTCAACAGCCCACATTCACAAAACGGCTGCGTGCCCAGCACCGTGTGTCTCTGGAGCTCACAGTCTGGCCCCAGTCTGGATGTGTGCCTTCTTTATGGACTGAATCGTGTTCCCCTCAAATTCGTATGTTGAAGCCCTAATCTCCTATGTGGCTGTAGGTGGAGACAGGACCTTTAAGGAAGTAATTAAGGTTAAATGAGGTAGAAGGGTGGAGCCCTAATCTGATAGGACCGGTGCTCTTCTTCTTCTTTTTTTTTTTTTTACATTTTTTATTGATTCATAATCATTTTACAGTGTTGTGTCAAATTCCAGTGTTCAGCACAATTTTTCAGTCATTCATGGACATATACACACTCATTGTCACATTTTTTTCTCTGTGATTTATCATAACATTTTGTGTATATTTCCCAGTGCTATACAGTGTAATCTTG